ACGAAAACAAGCTTGTTCGCCATACTGTTTTGCCTTTGATATTCATATGGGAATCTTCCGTGAAATCCCATTAAGGCAAATATTGTCTCGGTTATCACCGCTTGTGTTGAAGCAAATGAAATTTCCCACGTACCCTGGGCATGGAAAGGCACACACTTTATAATTATACTACGTGAGGGTCTTAAAAAGTTGGGTCTCGTCTGCAATGTTCTATAAGTGTATATGCATCTACCTGTTTTGTATGCACAACTTTGTTTGATGAGTAGCAGACGGGGTAACTCCCATAGTCTCGAGGACATGTAGCCCGGCAATCTAAGCCCTGGGGTCTGGAGTGGCCAAAAACCTAACGCCCCAATATGTTCGGAGTAGAATTGAGCTGTGGAGCAGCGAAGCTGCTATCACCAAAGTTGGTTGGTGGTGGTGGGGTTCGATCCTCGCGACCTAGGAACAAAAGGAAACCGGTAACGGTGACTTAAACCGATTGACCATCATTATTAAAAGAGGGATGCACAAGCGCGTGCATCGATAATCCTACCACACACATGATTTATGTTAGAAGATCGTGATTGGTTGTCCGGCTGGTGGTCTGAAACAGCTTAGACAGTTACCCCATGTAGGACGGTAAAGTCATTCGATATCAGAAAATACATGAAGAACAAATAGTCGGAGCTATATCATCTCGATAAGCACTGCTTTTTCTGTCCAAAGCACCTCATCAACGATTTAGCCAGTCACTAAGTGTTTTTCTGCAGCAGCTCATTAACTTCATCTGAGAAAGCACAGTTATGCGGGATGCTTAGGCTTCCTATCTGAAGGTTAGTTGAATGGAATCCTGGTAAAGTGTTGGTTGGGCCGGATCAGATGAACTTTCACGTTCAGTAGCCCATAGTTCCCAGCGGGAAATTTTAATTACAGAACACCGATATACTTGCCACTCATCCCATACGACCAAGCATCTTGAATGGCCTCTGTTGAGGAAGCCCTACCCACTGCCTTCTCGTTGCAGAGGTGTTTTCCACCGAAGTGAGAGGACGATAAGCCGTTATTCGGGGCTATAACCGGGTTGGTCCAACGCTGGTAATTCACCTGGAGGAGTTGGCCAAAAACCCTGATTCCAAACCAACCATGAGGAGGCGTATGAACCACATACACAACTTCCTGATTTTGGCAGTGGGTACCGTCCGAGGGCGTATGATCTGATGAACTGAACAACGGCCCCCAATGGATTGCGGTTTTCGCATACCGCCCCGCTGCCTTGCGGGTCAGGCTTTGGCTAACCGAAGCTACCGATTTTGAATTCCTCAAGAAAATTCACCTGCCTTGGCCTGGGCAACTTGGCAATATTCCGTCCGCTAAACTGATAGTGGTAAACGCGAATGTTCATGCCTGAGGGTTAAAAGGGGTTTCATTGAATGACAAACACACTACCACAGCTTCACTGTCACCCGGCACACCGTCATAATAATCCTATCGAAGATAAATTTAACTCCTCTAGATACTTTCCCATGTTGACAATTCGAATAAAAATGAAAACCTGGATTAAATCCTCTGGGGGTTTGTTTATACGTAACACTAATACTGATAATAATCAATAAATGTTCGGATTGTTGGGGTTATTTACCGTTTGTCTCAGTGTCATATCGCTATCTATCCAGTTATCCTTTCCGGCTAAAGCCAATACCTTAATTTCGCTTTGATGATTCTCGTTTAAAATTTTCATCATTAGGTTTCTGTTATTTAGGTGATAATGAATCATAGCATATTCCACATGGAACTCATAGTTTAATGAAAATTCAAATGAATCTCATATCTGACTAGCATGCTTATGTATTTGGATGACTCAGCAAAGATTACTGGTTGCCAATGAAGACTTCAAAAATCGAATTATCTGTCTTATTGATTTCGTCTGTCCGGGGACCAATTCGGCATTTCGTTTTCTCTGTGCTTTGTTCGAGCCTCACGCACACACAGCACTTGCCGCTCGCCCCTACGAACGTGCGTTTCCCTTTTCGAAACCTCATAATTTTTCTGTTTATTTGTGCGCTACATGAAATCATTTGCATAACACTGCGCACTGCATAACACTTGCCCGGTGACCGTTCTGTCCCATTCAATAGGAGCGTAGTGCAATTCACTTTTTTTCTCTGTCTATGCGTTTGTTAATGTCTGGTTCTTTTAGAAAAACTCCGTTATAATGGATTAGTTTTCTAGGGGTCACTTTTGACGGTCGATCATTGTCCGCAATAGATGTGATTAGATAAGATGGTAGTCGTAAAAAGATGCGCGAAAATGCATCATGGCTAATCAACTTGCGCTTAATCCCTTAAGAAGAGAACAGCCTCGTCCTTTACAACTGGATTACTACCTACACCATTCCAAAGCAATTCTTTTTGTCGCACTCACGTGCCGATTATCAATGACCAATCACGTTTCTCAAATTTGCGCACATGCGATTAGATCACTTTCGTTCGTGCAATCAGTAACAAAATGCAATAATCACGACAAATTTCTGTTCAGAATTGGAAAAAGTTAGGCTGAGTTCTAAGACCACGCAAGCTCCTAATAAACCAAGCTTAGTATTGCGCAGGGCGATTGGGAAACGGTTCTCCCGAAAGTAATCGTAGTATTTGTTAGCCCAATCAGTGCATATAACGAGTGAGCGGAGCAGGAGCTGATCATGTCCACCGCTTGGAGAGATGATTCTCTAGAGAACTAGAAGTATGCTCATGCGCGAATGTTCTGCGATTATCAAGTATGCCGTTATTTTCCAGTTTGTATTGGTGACTTTGATTACGTGGGCTTTTATCAAGACTGTGCGGGACAGTTTGGTGCACAATTTAAAACAGAAATGCTTCGAAACGTACTGTAAAATCCGAGAACTTTATATTGAAAATTAAGTGATTTACATCATTGGGGACTTGTAATTTAGTTTTATGAAAATGGCAAATTATCAAAATTTAACTGCAGTCTTCCAAATAGCAATAATCGGGTAGGTCTTACAAGATTCAATGGCAGATTTTCATTCGTAACAGTTACAGCTCTTGGTATTCATTTTACTGTACTCATTCTCTCTATCCTTCTCGGTTTTGTCCAATTTAAGGTCAACGTATTCGGACCACAGATTATGGCCAGTGCAGGTCTGAACTTCATGATCATCGTGGTCATGGTTGCTGTCACCGGGCTCATTTCCATCTGCCTCGTGATTGCCATTATATGTGTTCGACGTCGTTCGCACAGTTTACGATGCCGGAACGGACAACATCCACATATAAATGGAATTCGACGGGGTCGAGCTCAGGGTACAGCTGATGGAGGTGAAGATGCTAATTTCCCGCTCAAACATGAATACGGTTATCCAATTGATGGTACCGGTTACATGATGGGTATCAGTCCAACACCTTCGGACTTGGACACTTTGAAACTAGGCTATCAACATCCTGTGAGTCATTCTGTTCTGGGTGCTGCGAATGGAGGTCCCGACGGCCCCATGTACGGGTGGACTGGTCATCCGACTGCGACGGCAGCTGGACTTTGCTACCCAGCAGAGGCGATGAGTTTCTATCCAGAACCTTCAATTGCTTCATCTCCTAACGGGGATCAAGTGACTACAGCCACCTTACGCCTTCCGGTCTATCGTCTTACACCTACGAGTGATCAAATTCGCCTTGTGCAGAATCCACACAGCGGAGCTGCTGTGGTCACATCCAGTTGTATGAGCTTCGTGAGCCCATCTCCCCCACCCATGTCAGACCAACTGATTGTGGGCAATAGTAGATTCGCTGGGGAATCGTATGTAGAACGGATAGGCCAGTCGGAAGATGGAGCACAGGGTGTGTCTGGTTCTGCGGATTACCATGGAGTACATAACGGTCATTATTCCACCTCAAGGAACAGTTTCACAGTGAGTTTTTGTTTAACTTTCTCGGAAATGATCAGTTTTCATGTTGATCAGCCAGGCTACCAAAGCTTTTCCTATTGTATGAATGCCTTACACCACTGTTTGCTCATCGCATCAGGCTCTTATATTGTGACGTTAGGTCCTTATACTATGGCGTTGACCTCCTTAAAAACGCGAAACTTAGTAATTTCGCTTTCCTTATTTCTACCGGACGCATTCCTCGAGTTCTCCTCAACCTCGATGATGTCAATATCGTCCTCTTCCATTGGAATTGAAAAAATTTTCAATTGCAATGTTAGATTTATTAAAATAAATTCCTGTGATAAAGTGCCACTGGAGGCGATAAAAAATAAGAGACATTGATGACAGGAATCATAAAATTTGAGGACGACAAAATATTTAGTACTGAAATTCATATAGCACCGGTGTTCATCCCAATCAATCAATTAGTCATTCGAGTAAAAAGCCGATGGATAGATTGATCGATCTAGACGACCTATCAATAGGCCACTAAGTTACTTCATCATTCGTTGATATGACCACTCAGCTTTTCTCTCACTTGATCATACTGACTAATTTAGTTCTAAGCCGTGATGTACCCTCAAATGAATCAATTCACTCAGTCGGTGAACACTTTGGAATATTGTTTTTCATCCTGTGCATCTATTGTTACTTGATATAATTTACAAATAATATCTGCTCGTCATGCACAGTTTCTTCGGATCAAACGAGACATCAAATTCACCGGGCGGTGGTGGCCCGGTGGTAACGTCACCAAGTAATTACCCCGGGAAATCCCGGCCGCCACCTGAAGTTCCTCACTCTGTGTCCCGTGGCAGCCTTTGGTTGGCGGCTTCCCTCTTCCTGAAAATTGTATGATTGTAAACCATATTGATAGTTGTAACGCGAAATCAGAAGACGAGTGCGCTGGATAGTAATCAATTCGTGACACTAAAAATTGTCAATACAGATAATATGCACAATGTGAATTTACAGTCAAGCACGTTTCACGAGTTCACGGAGGATTTCTTGTCCGTTAATAAATCAACAACAGAACGGTCTGAAACGAGAACAGGACGACATAAAATATCACAGCCTTCTAGAGTGTCAAAGGTATTAGAGTCTCTTGGCATAAGGAAAACAATAATAATGATAATAAATAGTGTTAACAGAACAAGAGTGTGACAGAGGCAAGGCTGCATGATTCAGTCGCTGGTTTCGGTTTCGGTCACGGTGCACAATAGTGAAGAATGAAAAGTGGCAATGCAAAATGTTAAGTTGCCGCTTCGCAGTGTAATACGGTCAGTTGCGTAGGCAGTGGAGATAAGCATGATGTCAAACGCCATGCTGTCAGTTATGATCGAGTGCACAAAGTAGTTGTCACTGCTGTGATCCAGGTTCCTAATAATTACCGTTTGCATTTATTCCTGGATAAATAAAGCGTCATTTTCTTATAACCGAACCGCAAGCGTATTGATCAAATGCACTATCTGCGATTAAATTTCAGTTTAGTTTTATTTTAAAGTGGAAATTCGTCGTGTATATGGCAAATGAAGCGTGATCTTAAAAGCTAGGAAGCACTGGACAGCTGTTTCGACCTGGTTGGGTTTCACCAGCAGTGCGAATCCATCCACCCAACCAGGCTATATCGTGCTATCGTGCTATATCTTTTAAATGGAAAATGAAAAACGGTCTGATCAGCTGCCGGTGGCAGAGTGGGTAGCACGCTTGCCTTCTGCCCATGAAGTCCCGAGTTCGATCTCCAATTGGGTCGATGGATTCGCACTGGTGATGAGACTCAACCAGGTCAAAACAGCTGTCCAGTGCTTCCTAGCTTTTCAGTTCACGCTTCATTTGCCATATACACGATGAATTTCCAATTTGAAATTGAATCAAATCCTCTATTACTCACCTAAGTTTTAATTTAGATTTTTTTTTAAATTCAAACGAAATACCCACACCTGCCGATTATTGGAGGCTCTTTTTCTTAAATCAAGGTATGTCACCTTAGACAGTAGAAAATTAAATCAATGTAGATTGATCTGATGAACTTCGTCCTCAAGATTTTCTAAATGTCAGTCATTTCTCACGTAGGTGTTTTGTTGGCATCCTTTCAAGCTCCTCTCGTTCAAACTGAACGTCCAAGGAACCAAATATTTTGGGTTCTTTCCTCCCCTGCATTCCTCACCTCTTGTGCCTGTCTCTCGCTGGTTCATCGAATCGCAACTATCCCTTCTCATGCTTCCCTTGTTACCTTTCTAATTCAACTGAGATCAACACTGTCATATATTCTGCATTTGATTGACTTATCAAAACCGGAGCCAGGCGAACTGTTTGCAAGCTCGTGTCGTCTTCCAAATCATAATAACAAGTCACACGTAACGATTTTGGAGCCAGGTGTCTTCATTCCAGACAGTTTTGATCAGACCGAATTGAGTGAGAATGAGTGAGAATGCTGGGGATAATTGAGGAATGAGGGATTATGGAAGGAGGGGTAGATGCTGCATAGAGGATTCGAAGTTGGTAAAGTTGAAATTTGCATTCAACTGAGTAGGACGTTCCAATTCCCCAGCGAGCTTTTACCTGTCTGATTGGAACAGCTTGTGTTCGTTTGTCATTATTGTTCTTGATCGTTTCGCACTGAATGGACAGTGAGTGCGATGGGGGTGTTTTTGCGTGTAAGTCAGGATTGTTCTAATAAACTACAACACTCTTGCCTATTTATTGATCTAGTTATCCGCTATTGCTATTGCCTTCCATGAGTTTTTCTCCCCCCCCNAAACGCATCAATCGATTGAGAACTACCTCTTAGTTGTATACCCTGGCTCCGTGATGCTCATTCGCCACCGATGAGCTTTGTTAAGCGTTCTATATAGCTCATTCATAGTTTTTCTTTACCCAAATTTCCAAGGAGAAATTTACCAGCTAATCCGCAATGTCTATACAAGATTTTTAAATCATAATTTAGCAACCTTTTGATATTGTTGATAAGACTGATTTGTGCAAAACAGTTGTGTCCCGCATCCGCGTATTGGTTGCTGATTATTCTGATTATTCACACTCTTCAATTGTTTAGGCTTGAAAATGATGTCATTAAACTTTTTTCATTCATGTTGATCTTATTCCATGTATAACATAGGGTGTCACACAATGGATGATGGTAATGGATGGTACCCATGAAAACCTATTCTAACTTGAGACCGTAATGGCACCTAAACTTCGGGCTGAAGTTTACTAATTGTATGAAAATGCAGTTCTCTACCGTCAAGTTAAACTAAACGGCAGTGGTGGTATCCAATGCTGAAAATTTTACATTATTTTTCAAGTAACAGAAACTTCGATCCGACATTTCTCTCGACTATGCACTCGAACTCAATATCACACCCCAGTCCTNCTCGAACTCAATATCACACCCCAGTCCTTTATCCCGGTACATTCGTTGGCGTTGTGAAGTAACTAACCAACGGTCAGATACCGAAGAAAATGACTTGATGGAGCATCGTTTCGCATTGTACCCAATCGATCCAATGTCTCATTTACTTTATTTATCAGTTACCGTGACTTCATTTTACTACCCTCCGCTCTTTTCTCTCTCCTTATCTACTCTTGCCTGACCTAGATTCAGACCGCCAAGTCAACTTGTTCTTGAATGATGGCGTTACTGTTTGTACTGTATTGTTTCGGTGTGACCATGGTTAACATAATTGTGTTCTGCACACATTTGGTAGTGCTTGTGTGTGTTCGCGCGTGATTCCGAGCCTCAAGTGTACATTATCGACGGGTACAGTTTACCGGACGGTGTTTAAGTGGTCCGGAATCGAGAGACAGCTAAACCGCATTTGTAACTGTTTAGTGTTTCAAGTCACTCGCAAACGGTGCCTATCCCCAGATTGCGCCGTTCAATACCCTTTTTGTGAACGAGTATGTTCTCCACCGTGTGCACTGTGTCGATTGGTGGTATTCAAGCCTCAGTTTAATATTAGACATCCGGTGTTTAAAAATGTAAAAACGCGGACGGATCTGTGGTGGAATCATAATTAGACACTTGCCATTTACATTCATTCACGGAGAAGGGACTACGGCCAATCATAGGCTGTCAAGACCAATTCGATAAGTCGTTCGGTATGTGATGATGGAGCTGTTTTATACGGACTACGAACTCGTGGCCTAAGAACTCAATCACCGCTTCTCACTTCGTAGGCGGGCAAATAATTTTTAAAATTAATTCATATATTGTAGCAATTTTTGATTGGGTGGTGGATTGATTAATTTTGGTTGGTGAATACCTACCTGTTAAGAAATTTGTAAGCTGTCTATGGGATTATTCTTCTTTTGGTTCAAATAATAAGATATAACTAAAACATATTATCAACACTTACAATAAATACCATCATTTTCGATATGGAAATGGTAGGAGTGCATATCGGTGACATAAAGTGCATTTGAACGAATCGGATTTATCCTAAAGATCAACAATTTTTGGACTGAATTCCTTGCTTCACACAAAGCCGATCATATCTTAGCACATCTGATCTCCTCGTAATGTGGTACAGTCTGGGATCCGCTTAAGCGGGAGATTTCGCCACTTCCACGAAGTCGCACTGCTGATGTTGCCTAGCTTGGCTACGAAACGTCACCGATCAACACTTCTACCTCGGAGAACTCCCCAACAGCAACAAACTGACTTGATTGCAGATTCCTCCAATCACTGATAGCACATTGCAAACAAGCGGACAGAAACAATATATCAAAAGGAATACATCTTTGCGTGATTTGTGAAACGCATCCTGTCAGTGCAAAACACCGTTTGTGCTTAGTCGTGTCACTTACTGTACTACAAAAGTCAATCTATCATAGGATTTCTGCAACCCTGTTGTTAAATGACTCTATGGTATCGTGAATCCGGTCTCTTCTTTGCAATCCTTCCAGAAACTAAAACACTCACGAAGATTTTATGACTTGTGATCAGTACCCTAGCGCAACAACCTTCCCCTCTTTCTTAC